TGTACGTCGAGTTTGGTTCCCGACATCGCTGATTGCTATGCTTCTGTGCTTGCTCCTTTTAGTTGTTGGGTATGCGCGCAATCCTGGGCGATGTGATAACACTCTTGTGCGGTGCGTTGTTCGCCCCGGATGCTGAATATCCCGCATGGAGTGAGAAACTTGATTACTTGATAGAGACTTGACGGGACTGCTTGCATGGCGTGTATCCATGGGCGCCCTATGATAGCGTTGTAGGCTATATCTTGTTCCATGACGTGAAACGTCGTTTCCAGGGTGATTCCTCCGGCTAGGAAGGGCAACACTATCTCTCCAGAAGTTCGTTTGACTGCATTATTAAAACCCGTTAGTGTTATGCAAAGTGGTATTATTTTATCATCGAGTCTCATTTGTACGAGGACTTGAGGATGGATAATAGACGCGCCGCTTCCGTCATCCACCATTATTCTTTTTACATCAGTATCTGCAATACGTAAAATGATAACGAGAGCATCGTAGCGAGGGAAAGACAAAACCGTCGGTATCTGATTTATTGAAGATGATACTATCTTCGAGTTCATCATACCGTTCATGAGTGATCGAATGTTTAAGCTTGCGCGTAGTGGTGAACTTTACGTGGTTGATTGCTGTGTTATCGCCTTTGTATGGTACGAGCAGGAGAAGGCGGTTTTGGGCTCCTTGGGGTTGTTCGCGTCCGCGAGCAAAGTTAGCTCGTCCCCGGTCGCTCAGTAGTTCTTTCAGGTGCCCCTGGTTTAGCATTCTTACTACCTCCTGCCGCAGACCTATGCAATCCTCAGTTTTATGACCCATTTCCTGGTGGAATTCGCAGAGAACATTCGACTTCCAGGTGCTCGGGTCGGATTTCATCTTTTGCGGCCATTGCAACTTTGGGCCGAGCTTCTCTAGTGCGTATACTATTTCTGAAGGAGAACACAAAAATTGTGAGCAGATAAGAGCGGAGGCATACCTCTTTTGTGTCGGTGTTGTGCGGTATGTCGAGGGGGAACATCTGTGTGATGCGGAGGAGGTGGGATGGATGTCCTGATGTAAGGCTGATGTCTTTCTCGGCCGAGACGGGGTAGTTGGTCCTTTCGACCATCATTGCGACGATCTTTCCTTGCTTTAGTTTGAACTGACGTCAGCCGTTGGATCGGACCGTTGAGGTCATCCTCGTCGGCCCTTACCTCGGCGCAATAGGCGTTGTGGATTTCTTCCTAAGTGGTGGTAGGGTATTTCATGAGCCTGCTAACAGCTTTCTGGTCGCTCTCGACCCACTCCTGCTTAACCCGTTCTGGAAGGCTGCTACCGCCATCCCCTCTGACACATTTGGTAGGCTCATTCTTGAGTCCCTCGCCGGGCGTCTACCTAACGGTGAATATGTCGTTTACCCTGGCTTCTGCCTTTTTAGCTCCTACATGAGCGGTGACAAACTTGTCTGCCATTTATTCAAATGTTGCTATTGACCGTGCTGGTAGTTGCGAATACCAGGTTAGGGCTCCCCCTGTTAGGGTTTCTCCGAATTTTTTCAGCAGCACCGATGGTACTTGTTCTTTCAAAAGATCGTTGCCCTTTACGGCTGTGACGTAGTGGATGATGTGATCTTCTGGGTCTGTAGTACCATCGTATATCTTCAGGTACGGTGGCATTTTGAAGGTTTTTGCAATGGCGTGGGGTGCAGCTTTTTCATTGTATGGTTGCTCGATAAATCGACCAACGTCCCGTTTTGGTAACAACTTTAGGGCGCCTGGTATTTTGTCGACCCTTTCTTGATGCTCCTTCATCTGGTCACGGAGCTCCTTATTCTCATTTTCCATTTCCTCCATCTTCTTTAGGATGGCTGCGAGTGCGTCATTACCTGTGTCAACAGTAGTATGAGCGTTACCTGTGCGGGGGGCATCTAGTTCGCCGGCGATTGTTGCGACATCTACGTGTGCAATGTCTCCATTCTCCCTTTGAGCGGGTTTATCAAGTATGTTGTTTAGAGTGTTTGTCAGCCACTCTTCCAGTAGTCTTTTTACCGCCGGTGATGCCCCTCCTGTTGTAGACGTGGAGGCTTCCTTCTCGCGCGAAGCAGTTACGCTTTCATGCGGGGGAGGTGAAGTGTCTCCCCTAGGTGTAGTATTTGGTGTCACGTTTTCGTTATCTTCTCTGCCGTCTTCGTTGATGGTGTTCAGGATGTTAGTTGTGACTCCTGCTATTGCTTTTAACCTTGCATCTCCTTTTCGTGCCATTGTTAGTTTATGCAAAGCTAGGAAGAGGTGACTATCCCTTTTTATGATCTAGATGAAACTAAAATCTTAACTAAAGAATCCCCACAGACGGCGCTAAATTGTTTGACCAAAAGACGTTAAAACCTTTTTGATTAAATCAATTAATGATAATGAAGGGGAAAATCTTAGTCAAGCACAATAAAATCTAGATCAGGCGATGGGAGAAGTAAGCAAGATGAATGATTTGACTATTACTCTGGAATCGAATAAATGCTCATAAATGTGAAGACTTAAATGCACAATCAATCTTCATAGATACAATCAGCGTAGGGAAGGAATAAATATGAGATGATCGTGGAATCCTTGGATCTTTTCTATCCGGTGTAATGATATATACTTTCTTGTTCTTGCAATCAATGAACCAGACTACTTTTGTATTCACTCTCCGATAAATTCTTTTACAAAGTGTTCTTTTGTCTTTTTTGTCTGCCCCCTTTTCTCTACTGACTCTTCCTATTTCTAAGGGACAGTCCCCCACGAAACCCTAAACAACATAAAGAATATTCGAAAAGCATATCCTTGTTGTCTCCCACTAAGCTTACACCATCGTAGACGTTGTGCATCAACTGACCGCCCTTGGTCGCTGCCTTTTACCACGACGACCATCAGATGCTACACCATGATAGCCTCGTTCCTCGCCGTACTCAGTAGTGGTCGTGGTTGCTAAATTTGGACCTATACAGTAATGGTATACAATACAAGAAGAAGAAGAAGCATTTTGCAGTCTAGCATTTAGTCAAAATGTTAATTTCAGCGTCTATATCTTCTTATTTAAGCTAATCTTAGTCTTGTATTGTATTGTATGACATCCAAATAAAAATTTATAAAAGTTCTTTATATTTTTTGTTGGCATATAGTTGTCTATTAGGATAAAAAAAAACTCATAAAAGAATTAGAAAATAAATTAAAGTAAACATACTAATAAGACTAAAACTTAATCCAACCAATTGGTATCGTCTATTTGGTTATTTTTTCTTCCATGTGCCTTCTATTATACTAATTTGGCATGAATTTCAAGAATGGTAAATCTTTCAAAATAAACACTATTCATGTAATTCTAGGTTATCTTAGTTTTCTTTTAGAGCAACATATTCACTCACAATATTTCAACTCAATGAATCGCTTCACTTGAATATCGCAAAACGCATGTCCAAATCAAAATTATAGCATGCTTGGCCAAATTTTTACAATCAATTTATTTTGAAACAACGACAACAACTTCACCTAGTATAATCTCACAAGTGAGCTCCAAGGAGGATAGTGTGTGTATAGACCTTACCCCTACCCTATGGATAGAGAGGCCAACTTATTTGAAAGTGTTTTCTTATAAAAGTATTATTGGAGCAAAGCAATTTATGTTTCATTAATCAATATAAAAAAAAATACTTTTAAGCATCAATTTATATTCTAGTTTTTTTATATACGGATCAGCTTGCGCACAACTCAACTAATGTCACGCGATATAGTCTACCTCCTGCCAGCAATAGGTACCAGGTAATCTATCCATCAAGGCTTAGACATATGTGAAGAAATTACCTAGTATTTTTGTCGCTAGTGGGATTCTAACCTGAGACCTCAAGGATCTCTACCCATTTCATTGACCACTAGGTCATACCTTTAGGTGCTTTGGCTAGTTTCTCAAAAGTGATTTTTAGTGTTAAGTTACGAATATGAACATAAAAATATTTACTCAATAGTTAATACTGTTTAAGTAGATAAATAATTTCAAATATCTATTATGAAAGACTATATTCAAATTTTCATCTTTATTTAGGTAAAATATGAAAATTAAATTGAAAGTACTTATTCTTTCAAATGATTTAAATATATTAAAGCATCATTCAATAATATAGATATTGTCACCACAAAAGTCATCATATGTTAAAAAACTATACTAAAAATATAAACAAATACGTATATAATAGGAGATATAAACAAATACGTATATAATAGGAGAATTAAGTTAAAATTAGTAAGGTTATTTTAGTGTGTGTATATATATATATATATATATTTGTTAAAAGCATTTTTAGCAAGAGAAAAATTAAAAAAAAATTATGCTCTATGCAAAAATATTTTCTTTCTCCTAAAGGCTTAGTCAAACCATTTAACTTTAAAAATCAAATAAAATACGTTAAAAAATGAGAACTACCGTCAAAAAGAAAGTAAAAATAAAATAAATAAGAATTCAGTTAGTACAGACGCATGTGATATTCAAATGTGAAGAGAATCTGATAAATTTACCGAAAAAAAGATGTTTCCCGAGGCTTTCAGTAATGTAGATCGATATGGGTACAGGAAAAGAGAACAGCTTTTTACCCCCACTTCCCATAGTCTTTTTCCATAGACCCCCTAGCCTTTCCAGTCTTAGTGGGCGTTTGGACATAAAAACTGTAAAATTCAAAAAAAAAAAGTAAAAGTTTTTTGAAATGAAAATGTTATTTGAAAAATAGAGTTGTGTTTGAATATACATGCTCCTACTTTAATTTTGGATTGTTTTTAAATATTTATGAGTAATTTGAGTGAAAATTTTAAAAAATAATTTTTTAAAATTTTTCGAAATTTGAAAAATTTTAAAATACATTTTCAAGGAAAAATTAAAAAATTTATAAACAAATGCCGATTTCAAAAAAATAAATAAAACTTTTTCAAAAAAAGGAAAAATTTATTATGTCCAAACGGGCTCTTACTCTTATTCGTCTATGAAACAAAGCAAAAGATATCTGGGGGCTTATATATATGTGGTCCCTCTTCTCTACTTTTTATTATCTAAACGTTGTGGCATATACTAACTTCTTCCTGTTTGGTCTAGCGAGCGGCCGGTTTTGTTGTATATCCTAGGGCTTATCTTTTTATTATCAGCTTTTACTTGATTTATTTATTGTTGCATATGTTAATTTCTTGAAGTATTTAATTTTTTTCTCACGATCTTCGTTCTTGCTATGGAGGTTTGGTCTGGGAATGGTAGGTGATAGGAGTTGAACAAAGTTGATGGGTAGTTTTGGGTTAGTTTTTAGACAGGATTAGGGTTGTGGTTGTTATAAGAGCGTGCATTGACTTTTTTGTCCTTTTTATGTTTGGGTGATGTAAGAAGATTAGGGTTTTGAGAGTGGAGTTCTCTGAAGTTCAACAGAGTATCTAACTGGTAAAAATTAAGCTGCTGACCTATGGATCCCTCAGCCCTATCTATCTATAATTCCAATAATAATACTAATATTGTTGGATAGGTTTGTGGCTTGCATATGTCAGGAGCTTCATTATTCTAAGTTGGATCCCTTTTTGGATTGAAGGGAGCTCTACATTCATCTCTCTTCATCTTATTTTCCCTATAATATTATCCTTTTAATTAGTCTGTCTGCTGTAGTTTCTTAGATATTTGTTATACAGTCTGCTTTCTCTGTTTAATCCAGTGCTACCTATGTTTTTAAGATCTTTAACATCTGATTATATCCAGTATTTCTTCCTATATTTTAGTCGATCTCCTCTAGATCTTGTTTTGCTATTTCTGGGTTCTGAAGTATATATGTAAAGATTATTTGTTATGCGACATGCATTTTTTTTTATATTTGTACTATTTTATAGCTAGCTACTCTTTTAACTTTATCATCATTTGATTTCAGAAAAAAATTTGTAGATCAGAGAGTACCAGAGGAGCAGCTTTCTGTTGTCCAGATTTGAGACGCTGAACAAATATTTCGGGCATTACATTCCTTCAACGTTGCAACTTGAGCAATAAGAGTGTTTATTTGCTACAACACCATAGTGTAATTTTATTTTTTTTGTATTGCTGAAATTTTTTAACTTCGGAACTTACAATCTTACACTGCAATACCAAATAACTTTTACACTATGTATTTTGGTGTTGTATATATAAAATAAACTCACAATTTTAGATGGTTGTTAAGCTTTGATTTAGCTTATTCTTATTCCTTTGATGTTATTGGCATTAAAAATGCGATAAATGCTGTACTATTTTTACAGGGGCTAGCTAGGCGAAGTTAATCACTTAATTACTGGTTCCTTTATTTCCTTGGTATACTTGGGACTACTACTTAGTAGTAGTAGGATTTATTATTGGTGTAAAATGGCTTACAGATACAATAATTCCTGTCTTTGAAACAGTTTGAAATTCATTTTTTTGTATTACTATAGATACTTGTACAAAAGCTAGAACTTATATAGTAGTGTTGTTTGTTTTGGGATAAAAGTTTAGGGTTTTGTGCACCCTCCTCTTGGGAGGAGTGATTTTATTTTCTCTTGGGAGAGCATTCATCTCCTTGCTGAAAAGCTTTCCAATAAATCAGACTGGTGCTTGTGAGTTGTGACAACTCAATAATCTCGAGGCCTGTGCTCGTAAAGCTGTAATGTGCAAGTCCGCACGTCAAAGGAAATTAAAAATTGTTTTCTCGTATCTAGATTGTGTAATATTGAGAAATTAAGAGCCCATTTGGACATACAAAATTTTTCCTTTTTTCAGTTTTGTTTTGAAATCAATGTTTGGTTATCAAAATTTTACCCATTTTTTCAATTCAATTGAAAATGAATTTTCAAATTTGAAAAACTGGCACCCCTTTTTCAATTGAAAAAGGGAATTTGCTAGTTTTCAGTTTTACAAATTTAACCTCTATTTTTAAAATATATAAAATGACCCCCATAAGTTATTAACCTACAACTACCCAAGAAACACAAAACGCGCAAGTCTTATTGCAGAGTGTGATATTCCAACATGGCGTTCTCTCTTTAGTGTAATGATCTAAAAAATTTTATCGATTCTGGTACTCTTTGTTTGCTGATAGAATTTTTATCACTTACTTTCCATGGGCATGAAATATGACACTTTTTATTTGATCCATCTATTTATTTTAGTTATGCTTTTTTGTAGTTGATAATAGGCTATATATATGTTATTTACACTTCAACTGTGCCATGCTTTATTGATGTTTTAAAGACTAAATGATAACAAAATACTCTAATTGGTGTTCTTTGCTTCGCAGGGACTAATCCAAGTTAGGAAGAGTCTATAGAGTGTTTTGGAGTCAAAAAGGTGGATAAAAAGCCAATCAAGAAGACCCCGAGCGAAAATAAGCAAGAAAGAGGCAAAGAGGACTGGGCTTGAAGCCACCGCGACCGCGGCTGGACAGCGATGGGCCAAGGAAGTGAGGCAGAATATTTCTATTTCACCGCGGCCGCGGTGGATTGTGTAACTGCCAAGAATTTTGGGACTAAAGTGTAAATCGGGGAAAACTTATCACAACCCTTTATAAACTCAACAAACTCGCCCAAGCAAGGTTTAAGTTTGTTTTTAGATTGATTTGGAGGCTAGAACAAGTGTGAGAAGAGCAACCAATCATTAGAGTTTTTCTATCTTCTCTTTATTATTTCAATTGCACATTATGAATACTTTTGTAGTTTTATCTTGCTTTGCTATGCGTAGCTAAACATTTAATCTAGGGTTGATGGAACCAATTGTTGGATGAAGTTTTGACTCAATTTTGTTATAATCGAGCCGGGTTTATTATATGATTGTTCAACTATATTTTATAAGGTGATTAATTGAATGGACCCTTGATTAATCATGTCTAATTACCTTGTGTTGCTTGAGAAAGAACACTAGGTTAGACTGCTGTTGAACAACACCACTTTTGGGTAATCGAAGAGATTCATTACTTGAACTTAAAAGTGGGGTTAGAGATAACGAAACTTTGGTGGGATAATTCTGAGCTGCATAAATTATCAGCTAGAGTAGTTCGAGAGAATGCTCTAGTAAATTATTGTAGTTGATCGAGAGATAATTGCAATAGCCCATAGCTCGTATCCTCATAGAGTAATACGGCAAGATTATAGCAAAAGAGTTAAGACCTAAACTAGCGATTGGGGAAATCAATACCCTAGACCTTTTTACCATTGAATTATCTTTGATTCAGCATATTGTTAGTTTTTATATCATTTTGAATTAGTTAAACAAAAACCCAATATTTATTGATAAAAATCTTGCATCTGGAAATTGATTGAGCTGATAATAATATCACCAAGAGTTGTAATAGATAGGTTAGTTCCCTGAGGATTCGACTCCGGACTTAAATACCGGATTATATTGACAACGACCGCTTTGTCTTTTATAAGGCATAGTTGGGCGTGATCAAATTTTGGCGCCGTTGCCGGGGAATTAACGGTGTTATTTATTACAACTTAGAAGTAGTGCTAGAATTATTAGCTTAGATCAAATTTCTACGGTGTTAAATAATTTTGCATTGAAATTCTCACGTTTGAACTCTTGTGTGATTCAGGTGTATGCCTAGGAATTCTTCGAGGACTGGTGAACTGCTCGAAGGACTCTCAGACCCCGAGAAAACATTCAGGGCATTAAACCATGCCAACAAGAAGGACAAAAAGTCACAACAAACACACCAACTTGAAATTGAAATGGGAGATAACGTCAACGGAAACATTAGGGATGACCAAGCTGACCCAAACGTCAGAGTGGTGGCACCTCTTGTGCCAGAAGCTGCACTTTATGATTGGGCACAACCAACAACTGACAATCTGGCCACCGCCATTGTTGTGCTCCCAATATAAGCAGCGACATTCCAGATCACCAACAACATGCTGCATCTTCTGCAGAATAAGGGATTGTTCTCCGGGTCACACATTGAAGACCCTCAACAACACCTGAAATTTTTTTTGTCGATTTGTGTGACCCAAAGGCAGCCAAATGTGACCCCAGAAGCCATCAAGCTGTTACCGTTCCTGTTCTCTATGACTGGGGAAGCTCAGACTTGGCTGAATTCGCTTCCAATAAATTTTATTGTCACGTGGGAGGAATTAGTCAAGCAGTTCCTGAACAAGTTTTACCCGCCCAACAAGACTGCAAGATAGATTGATGAGATATTGCAGTACAAGCAGCAGCCTACTGAGTCCTTGCAGGAAACTTGGGAAAGATTCAAAGAGATGCTAGTGAAGTATCCCCACCATGGTATTCTAGACCAGATGCTCGGCTAGAGATTCTACATGGGGTTAGCAGACAATTTAAAAGCCAATGTAGATGCTTCAGCTGGGGGTGCATTTTTAGCAAGACATTCACTGAGTGTAAAACCCTTCTTGACAAGATGTCCCAGAATTCGGGGTGGATGACGAGAGGTACGACCCTGGCACCGATAGTGCATTCAGTTCCTCTTGACCCAAATAATTCCCATGCAGAGAACATAGCCACACTCATGACTCAGATGAGTATACTGACAAAGAATATTGATGAGATGGGTACAAAACAAGTACATATCGTTGACACAACAAATGGAGGACTGTGCACACCTTGCATTAATCAGTCTTATGTGTGTTCATGGAGTGAGAAGGTGACAACCAAGGGTTAAGAGAAGATATGAATTATGTCAACAATTTTGGGGGCTAGAGACAGGGAGGACAACAGTGGATACCAGCACCCAATCAGCAGTACAGACCAAACATGCCACAACCTGGAGGCATGCAGCCCCCAAAGCTAAATGGTGCCATATCAGAGACAACAGGGCTATCCACAGTAGAACCAGCAACAGTTGGCATATCAGCCGCCTCCTCAGCAACAGGATGGCAACATGGTAGAAATCAGGGGTATGCTTCAACAACTCATTGGAACAAATGGTAAGATGCAGGAAAAGTTGGCAGTGCATGACTCAGCAATGAAGAACATTGAAACTCAATTGGGGCAGCTGTCCATGGCCTTAAATAACCGCCCCCAGGGAACATTGCCAGACGACACGAACATTAACCCCAATGAGCAAAATCCGAATCAGCTAATGGCAGTAAGTCTCCGGAATGGGAGAGATTTAGACAGAGACCAAAAAGTCGCACAATCCAGCAGAGAGACTAAGCCAGTCACTCTAGTTCCAATAGAGGTAGATGAATCAGCAGAACTTACTGAAGTGGTGGTTGAACAGGTTCAGGATGATAAGGGTAAGGCTAAGGTGAGTGAACAAGCTGCAGAACAAGTGGTACCTCTTGTGCCACAAAACCCCAACAAAGAGAAGTCAGCAAGCAGTGCACAAAGGATGATACCTGCACCATTCCCTCAGAGACTGGTAAAACAAAAGAAAGAAGATCAATACAGGAAATTCATGGAGATGCTTCGTCAAATTCAATTGAATATTCCTCTGATGGAT